TTGTTGACATGTTAATTGGCGTATATATTTATATAAAATAGCGCGTGGAAATTATTCTGCAGAATTAAATAAAAATAATCCGTATTATAGAGCATTTACCCAGCTTTTACGAAGTTGTAACTTGTAAAGGCACAATCACTTTTATGAAACAGTATAAAACACGAAAACCTAATCAAAATCTCGCCTATATAATATATTTTTACAGTCGAAGGGTCAAAGGCATATTGCTATAAAATGTCAACACTCACCATCATCGTCTTCAAGAGATAAATATTCCATTCATATCTCTAATTCCTCGCACGATTCAGACAAAACACTTCCCATGTACAGCAAAGCACCGCTATCGTCCAAAACATCCACGATTTCTTCCATATTCGACGAATTTTTAGGTTTTCGAGCACATTTGCAAGTTTTCGAGTGTTTTTGCAAGTTTTCGAGTCACGATTTCACAGTCCCTCAAATCAGCGCTGCTCAAATTACGCGACCGCGCGTACAAATGAGGGACTGTGGAAGAGTCAGATCTGGGGCAGCAGTTGAGGGATGTCTGGAACTTGTTTCTGGTTCCTTGTTGGTATTACTTTTCTCTTTTGGTGAATCTGTTACCAATTGATCTATTTCTGCTTGATTACTAATATTGACATTCTCGTCTTTTGATGTAGTTTCTTTATAGTAGGTGTTGCCACTTCTTCTGACAGGTCAATTTGTTCAAGAAATACATTTTCATTCTGATGTCTAAAGTTATCTTCACGAAGGGTTTATATTTGATCCTGTAACTTTTTATTTTCACTTTCCAGTGATTTGATTTTTTAGAAGATTACTTTTTCTTCAATCAAGGAGCCAACACGACCCTGCAATTTGTACATTTCTGACTCTGCCTTACAAATCTTCTCGTCAATCTCGTTTTTGAACTGATTCATTCCGTGCTTAGCAGCAGTTAGTTCATGTTTCAAGTGACTGTCTAAAGAATTAGACAATTCATCTTTAGAACTTGATAGGTTATCATTAAGAAGTTGAATTTTAAGATTTGAGGTTGCTAATGCTATCTATATCATCATCATTTCTCTGTTCAATTTCAGCATCTGATTCGGTATGAATGTCTAGAGATGCACCCTCTAAATTCATAACATCAGTTGCATCATGATTTCCAAATACCTTTCTGTATAAAGAGCCTATCATCTTGTAGTCTATTTCATCTGTTTTACATAATTGATATATACCAACTCGGGTAATTTTGTGAATTCTGTTTCTTTCCATAACTCGCGATGTTTCCCTTGGACAATAATTTTCGTTTGTGTCAAATAAGCCGTTATAGCGAAAAGCAACTCGCTGCTTTTGCCATCTTCCTTGCATTGCCGTAATTTGATCACGATTTCCACTAAAAGTCTATCCAGTAACGTATTTTAAGACTCTTTATCCAAATCTCTAACGTACCGTTTTACATATTTTATTTTAATAATATATGCTGAACCTCTCTTTCAGTGACATTTCCACGTCCTCTACCTCTTGCTCGACCTCTTGGTGGTCTTGAGCAGCTTCGGCGGTTGTATTTTCGCTTAAAATTGTTTCACCAGAGACCAAAGTCGTCATATTTTCTCTATTAACTTACTACGATTTCATAAATGTCGAAAGCGTAGAAAAAACTAAAGAAAATTTTCTCATTCATTTCACGGCGGCCATGTTGTCACGGCGCGGCCATTTGTTTGAATGTAGTCATAACCATGAAGTGAAAAAGTATACTCACTAGTTTTGAGCGCGTGTTTCGTAACATTCTCTACCATCAAATTCACCTACTGGTCCCTGGCAGGAATCCTGGTTGTTGCATGTGACCAAAATAGCCCAAACATTGCGACCAAAATAGCCCAGACTTGGCATATGTTACATCGTCGATTTTTTGCCTTTATATGCGTTTCTTTCAAGATACTTTACCCTATTTGACAGGATGTTTGATCGTAAATTATAGTCAGTGAATAGTTTTTTATTGTGGTTAAAAAGACATTGAAAGAACGGCCTTTTCCATATGAACATCGAATCGAACAGTGACACTGCTTAGTCATTATCAATTATCAGTCATGTTTTTGTGTTGCTGATACTTGTATTGATTAACGTTTAACGCTTGTATTCTTACACTGTATTGTGTAATTGTACACTCTGTAATATGTTAAGATGAAAATGTTCTAAAGTGTGTACAATTACACAATTAACATAACACTTGCAGAACTAGTATTGTTCGATGCTGAATTAATATAAACGAGTATGTTTATAACATTCAGTATATATTTCATAATTTCCAGTCTTAAATCCGTCTGACCGTGTAGCTCAGTTGGTAGAGCGTCGATCTAGTAATTCAAAGGTCGCGGGATCAAGATCCAGCCGCGGCAGACAACATCTTTCTGCTTGCGCTGGGTATGGAAATTATATAATACACACTCTAGAACATTTTCATCTTAACATATTACAGATTGTACAATTACACAATTAATATATATATATATATATATATATATATATATATATATATATATATATATATATATATATATATATATATATATATATATATCGGTCAACATGGCATATGTGCCAAAACCTGAATCCGGAACGAAAGTCCTGGAAATGACCCCGCCCTGAAACGGCAGTGTCGACATAGCTCAAACTTCCGAAAAGGAAAAGCAATAGCCTTAATTTCCGAAGTGCTTATAGTGTATAGCCAGTTTCTTATTATTTTAGAATAATACGAAACTGGTTTTTCGTATCTCTGATGATGGTTTTGTTATAGTGTTTAGAAGGGTTGCTTTTAGGGGTGGTCATTGGAAGAAAAAAATTGTCTAAGTATAATATTTTACAAGAAAATGACCATGCACCACCTCAGGTAAACTGCTAATTATGCACAAAATAACTAATATGCCTGGCAGAAATTAAATTTTCTTATTTTCTACAAAAATTATCGTGGGGTGAAAAACTATGCTCAATTTAATATAAGTATTGTGGATTTCATAAGGATTGTCATTATTTTCTTTAAATATAGTAACGGTTTATTGACCGAGCGTGAGGTCTGTACTGTGAAATATCAGACCGAAGTTTTTTAGTATGGACCGAACGACGAAGGAGCGAGGTCCATGCAAAAAACAGAGGTCTAGTATTTCACAGTACAGACCCGAACAAGCGAGGTCAATAATCGGTTTATTATATGGCTGAACTGAGTCTGTGAGCATATGCTTTTCGCGCGAATTAAATCGGCTATCGTCAGTTTCACTGGGTAACATATACGGTAGGCATGCATGCTGAATAAAAAACAATTTGGTTGTTTGAAATTTTTATCTGTAAATTTTAATGACACACAATTGGAAAATGAAAAAAGCAAACAAATTTTTTGTTTGCAAAGCAACAATTTCCCGCCAGATAAACGACATCCGGGACACCGATCCAGATACGGAAAAACGGACCACGTTCCAGATATGGGTTTTTACTAACCTGAAGTTCGGGCCCTAATTTTAAATAGGGCCTGACACAAAACCTTTCTAAACCGTGGGACGCCCACATGTTATTTTTAGACACAACATGCAATATGATTGACAAGTGTTGTAGATTTCGTTAAACAAGAAAATTATATTCTCATGAACATGTCCGCAGAGACTTAAAAATTCAAGGTACTTTTATATAATTAAGAGTCAGTTTCTCTATTTAACTACCCTGGGTACTATTTAACCGAACAGCAAACAAATATTTAATTTATAGTCAGTTCTGTGCACGGCTTGACTGCCAAGCTTTCTCAAGGTCTCAACTTGCTGGACGCGGATATACTCTAACGGGCTAACAACAGCAACAATGAAATTCTCAATCATACCACGAAGAAGGCGATGTAGCTCAGAAACCAACGCCGGTAGGACCTGATATTAAAAATAAGACTTTTGACGGCGATTCCAGTTGGCAGAACATCTTGGCTGTCTTTCGAATACATGACTAGTTTGGCTGTTCTTTCTGCGTCGTGTGTCCAAAATTCGTCAAAGATTTTGATAAAGCCATTTCAAAATACTGTTTGTTTGATTTATTTGCTGCCATAAAGCATAAAAGAAAAGAAATTCGAAGAAATCGATAATGAATTTGATACGTGCGTTTGACCTTTATATTAATTGTCGCCTTGAGCGAGCTATTTTTACAACTGTAGTTTATGTGAACTTGCAGCCAATCAAAATCTTTCATGATGCTGATCAACCAATCAGATTTCCCGTCCACCAGATAGACGGGAATCCCACGGTTTAGATAGGTTTTGTGTCAGGCCCTATTCTGTGATTAGGGCCTGAACTTCAGGTTAGGTTTTTACGGACCGCTTGTCAATCAATCAGAATAGAGAATTTTGAAAATAATACATTTTATTTCACTTACCCAAACGAAAACACGATTTCAGCCACATTTTGCCGCCTTGTTTGCTTTTTATCGCCGAATCTGGCAAATACCATCCACTTGTTGTACTTTTACATTATCATAAATGGCTGAAGAAGATTTAAAAGAAGGTTTCATCAAGTTTTGAAACAGTGCAGTTTATTTTATCTTCGATATTGTGTCCTATTTTTCCTTCCTTTTGTGTCCTATTTTTCCTGTATTTTATCTTCGATACTGTGTCCGATATTTCGTGAAATATGGCGCCATTGCAATGCCTCGCTGCTTCTTTGCCCGATAAATGCCACTTCTTCGTCTTCCTATGTATTTAGATTACAGTATCCGGGAGTAATTCATTGTAGAATAGTCCCAATCGAAAAATTGAAAACATTAGCTACACTTGAAAGGAGAAACATTGTTGAGTAACAATCCAAAAGAAGTAATTTAAAAGTCACGCGCAAGTTCACGAAAATTCCTCGTGGGCTACATGACAGGGGGAAGGGGGTAAATTATTTCACGAAACGTTTGTTCGCCACCACAGCAACCTAACTATAAATACACTATATTTATTGAATGTTTATGATTCATGATAAAAATACGCAAATATTTATTGTTTTTATCATCAATCATGAACAATCAATAAATATAGTTTATTTAGTTAGGTTGCTGTGGTGGCGAACAAACGTTTCGTGAAAATATTCAGCCCCCCCTGTCATGTAGCCCACGAGGAATTTTCGTGAAATTGCGCGTGCCTTTTAAATTACATCTTTTGGATTGTTACTCAACAAGTAATATGGGAGGTTTTCTCCTTTCAAGTGCAACTAATGTTTTCAATTTTTCGATTGGGACTACTCTACAATGAATTACTCGTGTATACTGTAATCTAAATAAATAGGAAGACGAGAAAGGTGGCATTTATCGGGCAGTAGTGTGGGCGGGAGAAGAAAGGGCGTCGTTAAATAAACGCCTGCCCAAATGCCTATGACAAATTTGTTCTTGTCCGAAGAATCTTCGGAAAAGCTTCCCATTGGTTAATCTCGTTAACGGAAGTAATTACGTAACTCAAATGTCAACAACAATTCTGCTCGCGTATCGAATAGCGATAGCCGTATATTTCGCATAAAAATACAGTATGCCTGTTTAAAATGCTTTGGAGGAAACTCTTTCGTATATTTCAAGTATTTAGGCTTCGAAATTCAGTTGAAACCAGAACAGAGAAAGTCTATTATTAATTCGCTACGTGGTGAAGACGCCGGTTATTGCGATTCTTCCTACGGGATACGGAGAAGTTTGAGTTTCAATTATACATTTATATCGGCAAATTATTTAAGCTTGCTACATGCTATTTTAATAGCTCTGATCATCTGATGCCAGCACGAGCAGAGATCGAATATTTCTTATAGTTGTCTTGATATTTGTTGAGGCTACATTACTTGGCATTGTAGCTATGAAGTTGGACGGTGATTTTATAAAGAATATTAACATTTCAAAACACGCTCAACTGTTAGTGGTTCAGAAGCCTTGTAAAGGATAAATGCTCTGTGTTGTGACTGTTGTCTAAAATAGCTTCAAAAGTCATTAATAATTCATGAGGAAAACGCAAAGAAAAATCATAAACGTGTCGTATCTTTATATGCGATAGAGATTTCCTTGGACATACACAACGAATTTTTTGAAAGTTACTTCTCCAATGAACCGAACAAGGATTAAGACATTCGCAGTGCGTGTTTTATCAGACCATCTTTATTTCCGATAAAAACACTGCTGCTCATGCATGTTTTAAATAGTACATAAAATCTCTGCAAATCTTCCTAGTTGCCGAGCAAACGGCATGCATGATGCTAAATATAAATTTCGACTATGATTGGATAATGGGTGACGGTGCTAATGCAAAACGTCAATCATCCTCAATGGGCGAAAACTAATTTGTCATAGCCATTTGGGAAGGCGTTTCCTCAAACGACGCCCTTTACTGAACGCCTGCTACGCAGGCTAATCGGGCAGAGAAGCGGCGAGCCATTGCAATGGCGCCATATTTCACGAAATATCGAAGGACACAATGTCGAAGATAAAATACACTGCCCTGTTTCAAAACTTGATGAAACCTTCTTTGAAATCTTCTTCAGCTATTTATGATTATGTAAAAGTACAACAACTGGATGATATTTGCCAGATTCGGCGATAAAAAGCAAACAAGACGGCAAAATATGGCTGAAATCGTGTTTTCGTGTGGGTAAGTGAAATAAAATTTATTATATTTAATCAAAATAATGACAATGCTTATGAAATCCACAATAATTATATTAAATTGAGCATAGTTTTTCACCCCATGATAATCCTGCCAGGCATATTAGTTATTTTGTGCATAATCAGCAATTTACCTCGGGTGGTGCATGGTCATCTTCTTTTAAAATATTATACTTAGACAAATTTTTCCTTCCAATGACCAACCCTAAAAGCAACCCTTCTAAACACTATAAGCACTTCGGAAAGGCTATTGCTTTTCCTTTTCGGAAGTTAGAGCTATGTCGACACTGCCGTTTCAGGGCGGGGTCATTTTCAGGACTTCCATCCCGGATTCCGGTTTTGGCACATATGCCATGTTGACCGCGATGGTCATTTTACCCTAAAACAGTTGAGATTACCTGTTCTAATGAAACGCATACAAACTCATATACAGGTCCTAGACTAATTGAGTCACATTAACAGCGAGGCATTATTGTTTATGCTCACATGTTTATGCTCACATGCCAGTTGTACTCAGCCACAAACGACGAAATCGTTGTTGTTAACTGCTGCCATTATTCATCGTGTAACATTGTTCTCACTCTCAGCCAATGCATGATTTAAAATATCGCCAAAAACACAAAATGCATCAAGATTTATAGCTGGATGATAATTCAGGAGAACCCAGTAACAACCCCAATGCGAAAGACGAATTTATTATACATGTTAACGTACTAGCGTTATATTTAACACTTAAGAATTTGAATCAAAACAAAAGTTGTCGGGAGATAACTAGTTCAAATTTATTTCTTTAATATTTTAACCGCATTAAATTGTAACGTTTTGGATCATGAGCTAGTGAATAAGAAGCGTAATTAAGCGAGTTGGTCCTTCTGACTCGTTTTATATATCTTTAAAAACATGGTATAAGATTGTTATTTTATATACACTATAAATTTGATATATTATAAAGTCTACTACAAGTCGATTATACTTGTCCCACCCTCCCAGAGGAGAAAAATTTTAAATGTGTGTTTATATTCGTTGTCCAATCAGGTTTGAGTGTATTTTGAGTTGTTCAACGATTTCCGGTTTTTGTCCAGCAAACCGGATACGCGGATATATTTTGGCCAAATTCCGTCAATTCCTTCACGGATTTTAGAGCGAATTTAAGTTCTTCGATTAAAGCATCGTTGTTTTGAGAGTTGTACGGTATCATTCTTGCAGGGGATATCGATTAATCTTGAAAGAAATGCATTTAAAGGCGAAAAATCGTCGATAGTTTCGTGTGACATACACCAAGTCTGGTCGCAATGTTTCCGTCCTTCCCTTATTATAAGGAAGTCACAGGCGGGCGCGGACAAATAAAGATGGGTCTCCTGTGATAAATTATATAAATTTCCAAGCGATAATTTTCATCTACAAGACCCTTCAACTATTACTGGATTGAGAGACATGACAACAGAATTTCGATATTTACCCAAAAAGATAAAACATGGCAGGACCCGATTTATATATACATGATGAACTTGTGGTCGACGGACTCGACAACTGGCCTCTGTAGCTGAGTTGGTTGGAGCGCTCCACCAGAATCGCAGGGTCGCAGGTTCAATTCCTGCCAGGAACCTGCAGTTACATTTATCACAGCTGTTCCTCGTTAGGTCTATAACTGCAGTATATAATTTTTCACTCGATAATTCCCATCTACAAAACCCTTTAACTGTGCCATCTATCACTATCTGAAACTCAATGAATAATTTTTCTTGCTTCAACTGTAGGTTGGACCACCGTTAAAGAATTTTGCCGAGGACAAGCGTTTTTTCCTCGGAAGTGGATCTTTTGGCACGTGTGTTTATGCCGGCATCTTGGAAGATGGCAGTGAAGTGGCTGTGAAGAGAATGGTGATACAAGTGTGTGAAGGCGCGGCTGAAAATGAGAAAAAAATTTTAAGTCTGATTGAGACGAAGAAATCACCATTTATAGTGAGTTATCGCAATTTTGTGAAGGACAATAGATTCATGTACCTGATTGTTGATATCTGTGAAGAAACATTGGATGAACATGTGCATTCTCAAAATATTGACTATCTACGAATACACGGTCGAAGAATGATCAGAGAAATGTTAACTGGACTTAAATTTCTTCATGATCAAGGAATTTTGCACAGAGATCTCAAACCATCAAATATCCTGGTTGATGTCGAGGGTCACATGAGATTGGCAGATTTTGGAATAAGTCGTGTTCTAAAGGAAGACGAAACCACTGTTTATACTGATGAGAAAGGAACGGAAGGCTGGATGGCTGTTGAAGTTATACAGACTATAGAACAAATAGGAAAAGGACGTTTCAAAAAGAAATTTGATATTCAATCTGCAGGAATGATTGCTTTCTTCATTTTAACCAGAGGTGGACATCCCTTTGGTTGCACTAAGTACGAACGTATGGCAAATATTGTGGCTGGAAATCCAGTTAACTTGGTCAACCTTGATGATCTTGATGCTCGACAGTTTGTTTCGTGGTTGATCAGTCATACGATTCGTGATAGGCCATATGCTGATGAAGCATTGTTAGACCCTTTTATGGATAATATAGATTATGAAGAGGAATCTAGGCCTACAAGTATATTATTTCTGGAAGAATATCACAATTAGATGAATTAACAAATTGTGAAAACATTGACAACGCAAATGCAATTTAGAGAGCTCTTGTTAATATTTGAAGTTAGGGTTACACGTACGATTTCTTTACAAAATTTAGCGCTCTTAATTTTAGACACAAGTTTTTAAACGTTTGATCACTGTGAAGTGTGGTCGGATCGTTAGAAACAAAAATATTTTGTCAATACAGACTGCCTATAAAGAGTATTTTACTACATCCCGGGCGTTCTTTGTCAGTGCCCGCTTTAGTATAACTACATCTCCTATTTACTATAATTTTTTTCAATTGTATTCAGCGAGATTACCGGTAGCGTATTCGTTAAAGACGTTGCGTGCATGCGAAGTGAAACGAGATCCGGGTCTGTACACTTCTGAAACGAAAAGCCGGGTTAGTTTTTGCATGACTTTGAAATTTCGACTTTTTTCATTTCTCGAATTGTTTATTAGACATTTACTGGTTAGGGTTAGGGTTAGGAATTAGGGAAAGGTTTGGGGTTGGGATCAGTTTATTTTAGAAAATTCAACTTTACATATAGGCACTGACAAAGAACGCCCCGCGCCCGGGATGTAGTAAAATCCGCCTAAGGGCCTGTTTATATGGAAGCCGGGCTGGCCCGCTAAGCGAGACAGCCCAGTAAGTGGGATCTCGCTGTGTAGTTATTTTTATAGTAAAAATTACCGTGCGTTTATATGGACAAGCAAGCTGGCCCGGTTGCCGAGATCTCGCTTGAAGAGGCGAGATCTCGCTTACCGGGATGGAAATGTCTCCATATAAACATTCACAAGCGGGCTAGCCCGGTTGCCGGGATGAAAGTTCAAAGATACGGGCGCAAGCTATTTTTAACTTACTGTCAAAACTATATCAGGTTTTGGCACATCCCGGAAAGGGGATGAAATTTTCTCATATAAACACAAGTGAAATTCATCCCGCTTACCGGGCTGTCTTGCTAAGCGGGCCAGCCCGGCTTCCATATAAACAGGCCCTAAAGATCGTAATATGCGTCTAAAAGTGTATGAATATGTAACGTTCTAGCAATTAATTGATTTCGTCATGCATCGCCGAGTAGTGTGTAAACTTAGAGATTATCTTCTAATTATAATATAGTCATCCACCGTATATGAACTATTATGCAGTCTGATTCGTTGAGCTACTCGCCCAAAATCAGCTCATACGCCCGAGTAGCGAAAAATAAGATGGCGGCACAAACACTGCAAGAGTTTTGCGAAGCAATGTCCCTGCAATGGGAGATACTCAGTGCTTGCCTAGCCTAGAAGAACAAATTAATTATGCCCTTATTCATGATCCAGATGCACAAATAATTAAAGGGCGAACTCGTGAGGTTAATGAAATAAACGTTATCAATGCTTTACTTGAATGTAATCCTGAAGCCACCGAGGCGACGAATGACTCCCTGAGAGAATTAATTAGTATCAAAATTGCCAATCCAAAACCAAATGAGATCTCCCCCAGCAATTTTCCTACAACGAGCAATTCTCTATTGTCTAGCCACGTAGAACTAACTAATTATGACCCTAAGCATGTTTCGCCTGTAAAAACCTCCCACGGTGACCAACATAAAAAAGTTGATTCGAATGCAAAGAAATCGACAAATATTATCGACCACAATTTACCACTTCTTGATAATAAACGATTTAACCCGACCTCTCCACCTCTCAAAGTAAACTTACAGAGATCGGAACAACAAAATGGACAAATACGAAGCAATTATTTTCGAAAGCGCCCCCGAAAACGTTCTCGTACCCGACTATCCCAAGAACGAGACCGAGAGAATTACTATTACCAAACCTCTACCAAAACAGGCCAAAACATCAAAGTCCCATGGTTCCGGTATCATATACAAAGAAAGGACCCAGATTGGATCGAACATCTAGATCTGGTACGTCGAATAACTGTCTCACAATAACACGTAGTTCAGTTTATCAATCAGAGCCCCATGTAATACAAAATCCCACACATGAAATCTCCACAAGAATTACTAGACGTAAGAGACGCCCGTATCAGAATCTAGGTAGAGCAGTCAACTATCATGCTCTGAAAAATTTAAAAAAGATAAAAATCCCCAAAAGGTATGATATTCCCACCATTCTATCTGCGAATGTGAGGTCGCTGCCAAAGAAAGTAGATGAGATTGAACAAATAGCTCTGCTGAATTCTGTTGGTGCTATTTGTATAACCGAAACTTGGTTATCGCCAGAAATTCCTGACTCATCCATTTCTATTCCTGGTTATAATTTATTCCGCAGGGACCGAATTGAAACGTCTGGTGGTGGTGTGTGTGTACGTAGACCAAAATATACCATGCAAACTTTTGGAATTCAGTGATCAAACGGAGCTCGAATCAATATGGATATCAATGAGACCACATAGTTTACCAAGAGAAGTTACATCAATCGTAGTAGGCGTGGTCTATCATTCGACGAGTAATGGGAAACCTGAGAACATTATTTTACGTGATCATGTTCAAAAAAATCTTGATGCTGCGTTACTTAAACAGCCAAATGCAATAATTATTCTAACAGGCGATTTTAATCCAACATCGACTGGTTTTAATAAAAAATATATAACCCAAGTGAATAGCCTTAAACAGTTGGTTACCTTTAAAACAAGAGATTCTGGTATTTTAGACTGGCTGTTTACGAACAGACCTAAACTGTTCTCTTTAACCCAGCTACCTAAGATTGCATCATCTGACCATTATTCAATTCTGGCAAAGCCTATACTTGGAGGTGAAACTAAACTAATAAGTAAATCTAAAATACGCGATATGAGGGATAGTGCGTGGTGTGCGCTAGGTCGATGGATTACTCAAAAAGATTGGTTCTCTGTCCTCGAAGCTAATATGTGTAAAGATAAATTTGATCTTTTTAACTCAGATCTTAACCAGGCTATTGATAGATTCCTTCCACATAGATTGCTTCCATTCCTTCCTTCTAAGATAAAAAAGGGATTAAAAACGCCAATCAGCTTTTATCCAGCAAGGGAAAATTTCAACAGCATACCGATATTGGAGAAACAAAGTCCAACGTTCCATTCGTGCAGCAAAATACCAATATTATAGCGTTAAAGTTACTGATGTACAAAGAGTTAATTCCACAAAATGGTGGAGAGAAATTAAAAAACTCTCTGGGCAAAGTTCAAAACCGGAATGGCACCATCAGTTTCTAGAAAATAGCTCTGACACTAAGTTACTAGCTAATAGGATTAACAACTTCTTTACTGGCCTTACTGATAATTTTGAGCCCTTAACCCCACACATTGTATCCCATGAAGTGCCACAGATTTCTTTGTAACTGAAAACGAGGTCTACAGAGCATTATCATTGCTCCAAGTAAATAAATCAGTCGGTCCTGATTACATCCCGAATAGAGTCCTGAAGGAATTCGCGCATGAGTTGGCACCTATCATCAAAGATATTTATAACCAATCAATGAAAGAGAGATATATTCCTGAACTCCTCAAATCATCAATTGTTATTCCAGTACCGAAGATCAACCCCCCTAGAACCATAGAAAATGACCTCCGACCTATTTCGTTGACATGTACCATAGCAAAGGTCATGGAAGGTTTTACATGCACAAGACCAACCTCGCTCCCAGGGTCTTTAGGAAAGACCCTGGTATCGGCTGGTCACGTGCCTCGTCCAAAATTGATTGTCCGAGAAGGTTGTGGTGAAAGTATCAAATTACAAACAGTTAAAAACATAAATTTTGCGAACTATTATCAGTAACTTGCTAATTTTTGTTTATTTTATTTGCTTTGAATTTACAAGAACATTCTTATATTTTTACCAACAGTCAAGTCAAGAAACCAAGCAAATCGTTACTCGCAGTGCTCTCTCGTGTTATTATTATTCAATGCTCTCTTCACACTCGAGCGCGGTTTTATAACAAACGTTTATGGGCTTTTCAGTGGTCACCATTTCTACATATGTAATGTTTTTAAAACAAGCATTAGATTTGTCCATTCTTGTAAACGTTGCTATGCTTTGCACGTCTTGTTTATAAGATTTTTAAAAGAAACAGTATTGTATTGTATTGTATTGTATTGTATTGTATTGTATTGCATTGTATTGTATTGTATTGTATTGTATTGTATTGTATTGTATTGTATTGTATTGTATTGTATTGCCAGTATTGTATTGTCTAGGACTAGAGAGTAGAGCCCAATATCAGCAAATGTAAAATTTGATACTAGCCAAACAGAGAAATGTCTGTCAGTGATTTATCTTTAAAATTTTGGATTTAGTACATAAGTCGTATTCATTAATTATAGTAAGGCTTTAGCCTTTTTCTCGGTCAGATAACGTTTTCCTACTGACACAACTAGGCTATAATCTACATCACAAATTTACAGTGTCAGACGAGCACAGACTGCCATACGAATAGTCGAATACACATCAATTTTCGAGTTTTCTACTTCTACTAAGGCTACTATAAACAGTTTTCATTGTGTCTCAATCATCTGTTTATTTCTAGTTCAATAAGTTCATTTAGATTTCTATATTTATTTGATAGTGGCATATATAGTGATACATGTAGGCTATTTACACACAAGCAATCCTGGATATGATATAGAGACGATGCAAGCTGTCCATTAAAAAATAACGGTATTCTATTTCACAAAGTAAAAAATTTAAATCTCAGTTGTATTATTAAGAATATATATAAAGCAGAAAATTAAAGCTTGTGTCAAAACGAAATAAATGTGATATAAACACAGACAGTACTAAAGAGTGCTCATTGAAAGACATAAATATATTGTCGTTTGACTTAATTATCTTTGATGTATGACTTTACTGCCTGATACCGTAGATTTTCAACAGACAGCTAAACTTCGACATATACCATGATCGTTGAGATCTTGCAGGAAATTTTATAGTCTTAATCTTTTGACGGGATTTAAGTTTTTTGATAAGGCCTTTATAATCAACAATCTCGATACAGTTGGCGTCTTGGCGATACCTCGGGCGTATCAGTTTCGGAAATCAAAACATCTCGCTATTTCGTTCCAATTCCACATCTCATCAATAAATAAATTATTTTGGTCAGAGTATCAGGATATACTTTAATACTAACAATTAAATAAATATAAACCACATTGGTCGGCCTAGAGATATGAATTTTCTTGTAGGCTTATTGCCACGCCGCCCAGGCGTGCTTTCTTTGGCAAGTCTATAAGTTGAAATCTGATCCAACTTGCTTGAATTGTAACTCGACACTAGATTATAGAGCAGAAAGTCACATCACGATAAATATTAATTTTTAATTGCAGTTTCTTCTTGCAAATTTAAATTTCATCACACAAAATTGCAAATATTGTTACAAACGCGACAAACACGCTCCTCTCCCACCCTGCCCATAGTATCATTTTAATTTATCACCCAGAATCTGGGTGACACGTGACCAGCCGAAACCAGGGTCTTTCCTTCGCCTCGCGCCGTTCTAAGAAAAACCCTGGGAACGAGGTTGGCACAAGACTCCTACCTCAGTTAGAAGATAAGCTGGATCCGCGCCAATATGCTCGTAAAAATCATTCAAAACCAGATGCTCTACTATATACATTGCAAGCAATCTACGAAACAGTGGATACTGGTGAGGCCGGAGCACGATTATTCTTTGCTGATTTTTCTAAAGGGTTTGACCTTACTGAACATACCATCCTTCTACACGAGCTAGAGAACATACAAGTTCATCCTGCACTTTTGAAGTGGATCGCAGCCTTTCTAACCAACCGTATGCAGGCTGTTAAAATTGATGGAGTTCTATCAGACTGGAATTCAGTGAAGGGTGGGGTTCCTCAAGGAACTAAACTAGGCGTAATTCTCTTTATTGTTATGACAAACAAATTACTCTGGGAATGGAATCTTCGGACTAAATTTGTCGATGACACATCCGTACTGGAGATTATTCCAAGAAATTCCATTATCGTCCTAAACAATGCTGCTGCTGACATACATAATTTTGCCATAGAGCATAATATGAAGCTAAATCCTACCAAATGCAAAGAAATGCTTATTAACTTCCTACGCAATCCAAACTTTCTAATTAAACCTATACAAATAGGTAACTACGTTATAGAACAAGTGGAGACTTATAAGATCCTAGGTGTAATCATGAGTAGTGATCTAAAGTGGAACTGTCATGTCGACCACATTATCAAGAAAGCCAGTAAGAAACTATATTCGCTAAGGGTACTGCGTAGAGCTGGAGTCGAAAATGATAATATCTTAAAAGTTTATTTAACTACAGTACGACCAGTGCTGGAATACGCCGTACCGGTATGGCAAGCCATCCCGGACTATTTGTCTGAAGCAATCGAAGTCGTGCAAAAGAGATCA